GGAAACCTACGTGGTAGTTGTCTGGGACATGCGTGTGGTTAACTTAAAGGGACACCAGGGCATTTTCTGGGATTAGGGGAACGTGCATCCTCAACGGGGTGGGTGGCATTTTGGTGACAATTGCCAAAATTCATTGCTCTGTTCCTTTACTGTATCTGGTGGCACTGTCGGTTACGCATTGGGCAGCTAACCACGGGTCTTGCTCCAACCCCACCTGAGGACAAAGAAACAAAGGAACCTCACGGGGCAGTTGTACTCTGTCCTATAGTGCCATGATGAGTAAAAACCTCCTCCTGACGGTGAGTCGTGTTTACCATCTCACGCACTCACTGCCATCCCGTCGACTCTGATTCACAGCGACCCCATGAGTTTCCGAGCCGAACGCTTTACAGGCGTGGAAAGCCCTGTTCTCTCCCAGAGCACCTAGTGGTTTCAAACTTCTGATCTTGCGGTTAGCAGCCCAACGTATATCAACGACGCCACTAGGGCTCGGCTATTTACTACTATAGGTACTTAAAAAGCAAAAAGCTGGGGGAAATGAACATACGGAGAAGCTTTGTAATGTAACGGCTGGTTTTTGCGTCGAGACTAGACATCATCACTCTCAACACAAAATAACTGTTACGAAATGAGCAATTCTCTGAACTCCCACACCTTCAAGGGACCCTTTGCCCCATTGGGGGAGCAAAATGTCCTCTGCACGCCGGACTCATTCCAAACTCCCAATCCTCCTCGGAGCCCTTTCAGAGCCGCTACCGTGGAGGATGAGGAGGCTGCGGATTGACGCTCACTCAGGGTCCTGGCTTCGGTGTCCAACAGAAAGGCCACATTTGATAAGCGTGGGCAACAGCCACAGGCTAAGCATTCGTCCATTGCCAGTACTAAGCGTGACGTCACCCGCCGCCCGCGAATCCTAGCCCACATTACCTCGTGGGTGGTGCCTACTTCAGCCACGCCCACCCAGGGCGTTTCTTCCTTTAGATTGGCCAATTAACCCGAGTCTTGGGCACCGCCCTCTTGCCTTTATCTACCAATAGCCTACGGGAGCCTCTCACATTAACCAATCACCGCCGCCGCCTCTCTTGAGTGACAAGTCGATGGGCCAGTGAACGAAACGGCAGGGCCCGCGGGAGGCAGGAAGCGCGGTAGCTCGTGGTGGCGCGCACAGTTGGTAAACCGAGTCGGTCGGTTCTCCTCGCAGCACGCGGAGGGGAACTGAGAACCAGCTGAGCAGGACCAGGTCGCGGGGCTGCGGCGCGGAGCTACCAAACCTCCGGGCGAGACGGTGAGGAGAAACACTGAGGAGGGCAGGGGTGAGGGGAGGCGCAAGTCCGGAGCGGGGCGAGAGGGCGTTGGGGCGTCCGGTTCGCGCTGCGGCCGTTGGGCGCAGGGGCGCATGCGCGAGGACTGGGCTGGCCGTTGGCGTGCAGGTCTTGGGGGCCGCTTCCGGGAGCGGTTGTCAAGGCCTCCAGCCGGCCAAGTCCGGCCTCAGTCCGAACCCGTCTGTTTGTGGTCGGAACCGAGCTCTAGAAAGGCCTGGACGGTTGGCAAGGACCCCGGGGCCGATGCTGGGAGCTAGGGCGGCAATGAGAGAAGCCGTACTTTGGAGACAAGAGGGTCCTCTGGGTATTCCAGGGACCCCTCTTTCCCCGGTTCTGTTCATGTTCCTCTTTTGAGAGATTCGGGGTTCCAGAGGTTTAGCGGGGATAAAGATGATCGCCGGGAAATAAAAGGCTAAAAGGAACAAACGCTGGGGTAGGAAGCCTCATTTAGAGCCAATGGGTGCCCCTGCGTTCACGCATCAGTGTTTGGGTTGTCAATGCTCCAGTGTCACCTTCCACGTTTACCCCCTCCAGAGGGCCTGCTAAGTCCATCTCCTAATTTAATTTGCTTTGAGCTTTGGAGCTTGTCTAGCCACTTCGGGACAGTTTTGTGCCTCCAGCCCAGCAGCTTAAATTCAGGCTCCCACTGAAAACCGTGAGAACTTCATTTGGCCTCTGATTCATTCCCAAGTGTACCATCTGTTTCCCCCCAGGTTTGAAGTCCAGATGATTCTTTGCCCTTGGGCCATCCAGAGTGGATTTAAAGCCCTCCACACCCCCACTGCCTGGTTTACCCAGTTGCTTATCTCTCAGGGACAGGGTGGGGTGGGAGACCCTCCTCTCCCGTCCTCCCATTTTGTTCTGATCCCGGTTGAGCCTTTCAACTCAGAATCTCATCAGGGAATCCCTGTTGTACATTAAGAAACTAAATTACCACCGCCTTGGTCTTCTGTCTGGACTTCCAACAGTTATCCCCAAAAGTTTGGTACTTTTCCAACTGGCCCTTCCTGGCTTTCCCTGCTGCCAGGAGTGGGTGGGGGTGGGGTGATGATGAATCCTTTCTGGTTTGGCTAGTTGAGATCCTCAGGGAACTATCAGATGTTGCCTTTCAGGGATCTGTAGTAATGGGCGTGTGGGCTTTTATAAAGCCCCAGAAGAACACTGCTGTGCTTCTAGCTCCATTCATGCAGTCCTTGCTTAGTGAGTGCCTCCCTGCTGTGTGATAGGCCACCAAATAGCTAGTCCAGTAAGGACCGGTGAGAATGACTGAGATGACATTGTCAGATGGACTTTGTGTGCTTTGGGGAGTTGGTGCCTTGAGGAAAGACCCTTCCTGAGGACAACGTGTAAGTGGAGGAACAAGGAGTGACAAGGCGCAGAGGCTAGTGAGAGGGTCAAACAGAAGATGAGACCAGAGGGTTGTGGGATGTCAGGTCATCTTAGGGTGTGATAGGCCATGCCTGGTGGGGCGGGCCTGCTCTGAGCACAGTGGGAGCCATAGGTGGGTAGGGGATTGTGAATAGGACTGGGTTCCCTCTGACTGCTGTGGGAGAGAGTGATGTAGAAGCTGGAGGCCAGGGAAGGGGAGCTTCTATCACAAACTAGGGGTCATGGGCGGCCTATGTGCCAAGAAGCAGACCTTGGTGCCACCAGTCAGTGGAGTTGCTCAGTCACCGAGAGGAACGGTGGTCTGTGTGGATGAAGCTTGACGCAGGTGTGCTCAGTGAAAGAGGCCTGACTCAGGACCATATAGCATATACCACGTCCTACTGATGGGAAAAGTCTCAAATGGGCAGATACATAGACAAGAGACAGAGTTGGCTTAACAGTTGCCAGGGGTTGGGGAGATGAAAGGGTGGGGTGGGGTGGGGTGGGGGTGGGTAGCTCAGGGTCTGATGAAATGTTCTAAATACACAGCTAATGGTTGCACACATCCTAGAAGTCGTAGAAATGACATGGGCGTGGTGTCTGGCCTCTGACTAATTCTACCGGGGGCCAAGGGAGAAGAGCTAGGATCAAGAGCCTACGGCTGATTCTGATAAGGCAGAGATCAGGTTTGACTACTCCAACCTTTAAAAAAGAAATTCAGAAAACAAAAAAAACAGTTTTAACACCTAGGGAGAAAGACGGTGCTTTGTGCTTCCATAAAGACATGCAGCTGGGAGACCCGCCGGGGCAGCTCTCCTTTGCCATGTAGGGCCGCTCTGATTTAGAACTGACTGGATGGCAGTGAGTTCCCTCTTCTGTCACTCTTTCCTTTGCTGGGTTCGAGATTCATTGCCCTGGTCACACAGTATTCTCAATGATGGGGTCCGTAGGGAAGTAACATTACATGTATGTAATTTCGGATCAGACAGTGACTCAGTATGTAGTTTTTGGGTCAAGACAGCCAGCAGTGCTTTCTGCACACGCCTCTGGGTCCTGCAGCCTCAGCTCCTCTCTGGCACGCTGTCTCCTGTGGGTCTCCTAGTTCTTCCCTGCTGCCACTTGTCGCCATCTCTCACCCTCTCCGGTGTCGCAGCCCTGTCTCCCGTTTGAAGGAAGCTCCCAGCACAGGAATCCTGGGTATAACGGACCCACTCCCTTCCTGGCTCTTCTCTCGCAGTGGTTGTGAGGTCCCTCTTCATGCCACCGAGATGACAAAACAGACCCGGCCCCGTGTTTAGGGCTCCAAGTCGCTTGTTTACATGGTCTCACTCCTGGTGGTGCTCTGGACTTGGCTAATCGAGAGGTCGATGGTTCAAACCCACCAACCAAGCCACTGGGTTGATTCAGTGCCTGTGGCAAAACAAGAGGCTCAGACAGCACCTGTGACGGCCAGTGTCTGCTCTGGTACGTGGGCTGCTTCTGAGTTGGCGCCAACCCAGTGGCACCAATCAAAACATAGCGCCCCTGGTGGCGCTGCTTGCCCCAAGGTTGGCGCTGCAGACACCAGCTGCTCCACAGAAGAGCGGCGAGGCCTGGAACCTTAGATGGAGTCACTCCACATTGGCATCCACTCGGTAGCGGTGGGTTTGGGTTGGGTTTGGTGCCCTCCTCCTAGTACCTTACCTTGTCTCAACACGTTGTCCAGAGAGACCAGTCCTTAAGGAGGGACACCACGCTGGGTAAAGTGGCAAGGCCGTGAAAAGGAAGAAGGCCATCGGGCATGTGGACTGACATGGGCGGCACCGTGGGCTCAGACATGGGGACAGAGAAGCAGCTGCCAGGGTGGCACAGGACTTCTGTTGTGCACAGGAGTGGGGGGCGGGGCTGTGCATCGGACCGACTAGCCTTTCAACCCCACGCACGGGATTGACATTAGCAAGTTTTTCAGCCCCCCAAGGAAGCCCACAGGCGTGGTGATTAGGAGCTGAGCTGCTAGGCGGACGGTCGGCAGTTCGAAACGCCCAGCAGCTCTGCAGGAGAGAGACAGGCTTTGCCTTCCCCACCGTCTCCACAGGGGCAGTTCTACTGTGTCTTACAGGATAGCTATGAGTCAGAATTGAAGGCAGTGAGTGGTTTTTTGTTAGTCTGACCCCCCAGGTGGGCTGCAAGCACCTCATACTTGCTTAGTCCCTCCCACCCAGTCCTCAGAAGGCCACATTCACAATGGAGGAGCCCTGGTGACGCAGTGGTTGCATGTTGGGCTGTGATCTGCAAGGTCAGCAGTTCAAAACAGCCAGCCCGCTCCGTGGGTGAAAGATGAGGCTTTCTCCTGTGGTAAAGAGCTACAGCCTCAGAAACTCACAGGAGCAGTTCTGCCTTGTGCTGTAGGGTAGCTGTGCGTTGGCATTGACCCAATGGCAATGAATTTGATTGTTGTTTAAAAAAGAACAAACCCCGAGTATTCACAATGAAGGTGTGTGAATTACAACCCAGTGACGCAAAGGAGGCGGGAGCCAGTGAGGTGGGGGTGAAGGGTGGGTTGGGTGTGGTAGAGAGAACCAGTTACTATTCAGGACCTGGGGAGAAGCCGATTTGTTCTGAGTAAATGTGGTGGAGACAGCTGCTTGGCGTGGAGTCGGGAGGAGAGAGTGCCCATAGGTAGGCCATGGGAGTGGTCAGTGCAGAAATAAGTCTAGGGAGTGCGTGGGGGGACCAGAGGAAGTCCTACAGAGAGGTCGGGATCCAACACTGGGCCCAGGGCACCTCTGCTGCGGCTGCTCTTGTGTCTCTTTAAGCGGGGCCAGGCCCGGCCGGGGAACGTGGAGGAAGACCGGCTTCAGGTTCAGGTCCCTGTGGGCGCTCCCTCCAATTGATGCGAGGTGGTGAGTCCTTTGTATTAATTCCATTTACTCTCTCGGCGGCGGCTTGCTTTTTATTGGCCTGGGCCCAATGGGAGGCCTATTCATGAGAGCACATAATTATTCCCGGGTGCCAACCACAAATTGCTGGGCAGGCACCACTCTCCAGTGCCTGCCCTCCATGGGCCCCCACAGCAGCCTGTTCACAGGCAGTCCCCCCAGCCTGAGGTCTCCAGGGAGTGCTGGGGAGGGGCTGCTCTCGTGCAGGGGGGCGGGGCGCCTGAGAGGCCCTGTGGGGCTGAGGAAGGAGAGCAGAGGTGGGCTGACGTTGAGTGAGGGGGTACAAGGGCTCACTCAGAACACTTCTCTTGTGGGGGTGTCTCTGTGTGAGTGGGACCACGTGTCCACCTGGTGGTGTGTGTTGTAGCAGCTGAGAAACAGTGCCGACTGCAAGGATTACAGGGATAATTGCCCCATGTGGATCACTGGGCCTTTCCCACTGGCACTGCAGGGCGGGTTTGGACCACAAACCATGTAGTTGGTGACCTAAGGCCCCCTAGGCTCATTGATGCGTGTTTCATGAGGGGCCAGGGGTGGGACAGGCTGCTGTGCAGGTAGAGAGACGATGGAGGTTGAGGGAAAGGTCAAGATGGCACGGGGACCCCTGGGCCCAGACCGCCAGCAGCGGCACCGTGCCTCCCTCCCCACCCCAGGACGTGTCCCCTTGCCGGCTCCTCTCACAGCCCTCCACCCCTTCTGCTCAGTCTTTAGCACCATGGCGGAACAGGATGTGGAAAACGAGCTTCTGGATTACGAGGAAGATGAAGAGCCCCAAGCCCCGCCAGAGAGCACCCCGGTTCCCCCCAAGAAAGACGTCAAGGGCTCCTACGTGTCCATCCACAGCTCTGGCTTCCGGGACTTTCTGCTGAAGCCTGAGCTGCTCAGGGCCATCGTGGACTGTGGCTTTGAGCATCCTTCTGAGGGTACGGATGCTCCCCGCCCTGCCAGGGCCTGCTCCCCAAGACCGGCTCTGCCCTCTGGGTGGGGCTGGGGGTGTGCTGGGACCCCGTAAATGACCTCCGACAGACAGCCTCGACCCACAGTTGTTTGTGACACCACAGGGCCTGCTCTCGCCCCAGGTTCCTCGGCCAGCCAGTGAGGAGCCTGCGCAGAGTGTCCCCCACTGTCTGGCCACTCATGTTCTTTTCCTCCTCCAGTCCAGCACGAGTGCATTCCTCAGGCCATCTTGGGCATGGACATCCTGTGCCAAGCCAAGTCGGGCATGGGCAAGACGGCAGTGTTCGTGCTGGCCACCCTGCAGCAGATTGAGCCTGTCAACGGACAGGTAGGGACAGCCTGCTCTCCCCCCACCCCCTGGGGACCCACCCAGTGGAAAGGCCCTGGATTTGCTGAGCAGAGAGCACTTCTGGGTTGTTAGCAGGCTTTCAGAGAGGGGGTGGGCCCCTGAGAGCAACTTCCCAGGTCACCTGGGCTAGGCTGGGCCTCTTTGGGTGGGGTGTCCCTCTGGGTGGGAGATGGGCCTCAGGAGCTAGGAGAGGGTACAAGTGAGGATTGGGGGGCAGGGAGAATGGGGGTGCTGGTGGGAGTGGTAGGAGGTCCCTGCGTGGGCAAGACCCAAACAGTGTGGGCCAGGAAGGACAGGGCATGCTGGGTAGTTCAGGGCCTTCCCTTCAAGCTCTTTCTCCTCCCACCCCACAGGTGACGGTCCTGGTCATGTGCCACACGCGGGAGCTGGCCTTCCAGATCAGCAAGGAGTATGAGCGGTTCTCCAAGTACATGCCCAGCGTCAAGGTGAGCCCCCAGGACTGGGCCGGGCGCCCCTCGGTCGTCTGCAGCGGGCAGCCTCAGCTGTGGCCCGGCTGGCCTTTACTAACTAAACTTGGCTGCAGGGCTGCCTTTGAGGTTTGTGGTGGCTTAATGCTCCTTAAAAGCCTGCTGAATTATGCATGGTCCCTGAGGCCGGTGCTGCCCCTACCTCGAGGCTGCTCTTTCTGGGGCACCCGCAGCCCTGGCCTGCTCTCAGCCGGGTCGGATGGGTGGGCATCCTCGGGGGCCAGATGTCAGCCTGGAGGGGCTGCAGTGACTTCCTCCCTGTGGCCCTGTAGGTGTCTGTGTTCTTCGGCGGGCTCTCCATCAAGAAGGACGAGGAGGTGCTGAAGAAGAACTGCCCGCACGTCGTGGTGGGGACCCCCGGCCGCATCCTGGCGCTGGTGCGCAACAGGAGCCTCAACCTGAGGAACGTGAAGCATTTTGTGCTGGACGAGTGCGACAAGATGCTTGACCAGCTAGGTGAGGGCTTGGTGTCGCCGCAGCTCGGGGCCCCGCAGGAGGTTTCCCAGGGGAGGTGCAGGGGTGGGAGGGAAGAGGACGGCAGCACGTTGGGCTGCCTTGAAGGAAGACTCGGGAGTGCCAATGTGGCGTGCTGCTTTCTGCGCCCAAGCCAGACAGGGTTGCACACATACGTTGTCCCCACTAGTGGTGTCACCTACAGCCGTGGTGTTAGAGATGGGCTTGTGTCAGGGTTGGGCTGCAGCTCTGGCCCCAGCAGCTGTCTCTGCCTCAGGCTCCCCCCCCTGAAGCGGGGCACCAGGCGCACTGGCACGGCTGCTCTGCGCGGGCTGCGTGTAAGTGACCGCAGCTCCTTCCTCGCCTGCGCTTTGCCCGAGTCCAGCCCCTCAGGCACCTTGGGACTCGCCCTTCCCTCCACTTGGTCTCACACCACTGTCACGGTGCCAGCGGCTCCCTGGCTATGGTGGGGTGGGGTCTGGGCCCGGGTGGGGGCCTGGCCTGGTGGGCACTGATGCCCAACCCCCCTCTTCCCCTCCCTCCCCTAGACATGCGGCGGGATGTGCAAGAGATCTTCCGCCTGACGCCGCACGAGAAGCAGTGCATGATGTTCAGCGCCACCCTGAGCAAGGAGATCCGGCCCGTCTGCCGCAAGTTCATGCAGGATGTGAGTGGGGCGGGGACAGGTGACTCACGGGGGTGCCGCCTCCCGACACACATGGGGAGCCTGTGAACTTAGAGTTTTTACTGAGGCTGGGATCTAGCAGGCCCCCTGGAGGTTTTCCTCATCCGAAGTAAGCCCTGCTCACTCCTCCGCCTCCTCCCGTTGTAGCCCATGGAGGTGTTCGTGGACGACGAGACCAAGCTCACGCTGCACGGATTGCAGCAGTACTACGTCAAGCTCAAGGACAGCGAGAAGAACCGCAAG